ACACACACACACACACACACACACACACTCATTCACACACACTCACACACACACACACAAATGAACTGGTGTGTGTTACAATATGGCAAAATTGAGCCAGAAGACTCGAATACGAGGTTGAAATCAGATTGATTAACCTCTGATAAAGTATTTTTGAACTTTGATGTTGTGTAACAAAATGTCTTTGGGTTTGACTACTACTAAATGAATGCAAAAACTGCCATTTCAAACAAAAACTAAAAAATCTAAAGCTTTACGAAAAGTTGTCTTTGAGAATGTCTAAACACGTATCCACATCTGAATAAAAAATAAGTATGTCTAAAAACAACTAGAGGATTTATAAGCCTTTTTATATAGAGCTCTACAGGAATCTAGAGGCTAAACCAAGCACATTTCAGATGTTTTTCTTTTGTATTCCGACCATACGGCACTAAACTGCCTTCAGAAATGGGATTTTAAAGGCATTGTCTCTATTCTAACACGAAACACTGCCATAATTGAAAAGTAACAATAATATTATAATATATATTTTTTATTTTTTTCAATGGGGAAACAAATGTATGCATAAATATCGATGAATAGCATTTTATAAAAAAAGAAAATAAACTATCATTGAGCAAAAACGTATTACATTGATTTCACTGAGAGAGAGAGAGACCCACACATTTCAGGTGTCCGGTCACTTTCGACGCGGACTACACAAGTGGGTTAATATGCGACGCATTACAGGGTCGAGATTTCGAACTACAGATGTGTATAGCTTCAGATAAGAAACTACAACTACTAAGAACACACAATGACTGTCTGCTGCCAGACAGACTGTTTAGAGCAGAGACCTGGCGATCTGATTCCTCCTGATGTGCCGCAGGAACCCGTGGCTCATGTCCAAGCGCCCGCCGGGCTTGTATTTAACTCTCTCCCCCTCTGCGTCAGGCATGACCTCCATGGCTCTGCTCTGGCCTCAAAATAAATTCATTTTAGCACAATGTTACACATTCCGTCTACAACATCCCTCCGAACACTGGGGCCGAGAACTAAAAACGCTGGCCAATAAAAGCGAACTCCGAGTTGTCGGAGCTGTTTGTTTACTTCCCCCACAAACGACCGCGCTTGTATTGTGTCCGTCCTACAACCCCGGAGCGCGTATTTCTATATTAAAAATCGAAATGCATAATAAAATGCGCAGAAAGTACGTTACACGACAAATCCATTGATTGTGTTTGTTTCCAACCCCGGGTTAGTGTGCTCTTGGCCACCCAATTTTAGAGCGGAAGTGAAGGCGGAAGTTTAATAACACTCGCAGAAGTGTCCATTCAGCGGTGAATTCACTTGAAACTAACTTGTTTTTAGACGTAAGATGATCGCAGGCGTGAAACGGGAGAGGGACGTCGATGGAGACGAAGAGGAAGGTATGCTAGGAGTGATAGTTTAGCAGTAACGCGAGTCTAACTCTGCAGGCCCGTGTTTTCAACGTAACGCCAGTCGTTGAAATACATGCACTGTTATGCATTGATCTAAACTAGCACTAAACAAGCTATTGATCTTAATTAGATCGTAAGTATAAGCTCTCACCTGGCATTATGATATCTGTTTAATATATGTAGGCTGTGTGTTGTGTTTTAAGGTCACCAGATTTCTGAAAACCAGCAACATTTTCTGGTTCAGCGGCCAAAATATGATTGAAATCTCACTTCTTGGTATCCATGAAGACAATACTTTTTTTT